CTAGCATTTACTAGATATAGGGTAGTCTGTTATATAAAAGAGGGTGACAACGTGACGGTAATGTGTGTGTAGATAGTGAGTAATTGAACTGCAGTCAGAAGTATTGTTGATGTTCGTTGATATAGCGTTTGTTTTAGCGCAATTGTTGAAAATAAGTGTATTGTAAAGTTGTATTTGAAAGAATAAACCAGTTTTATTAAGTAAGGACTTGTGTCGCTAAAGTTTCATTGGAATGAAGTTACGGAAAGTTAATTAACAAACGGAGATGTAACAGTATCATTTTGAAGAAAATAACTAGGAAAGATTGTTAAGACTTACCTGTTTCATCTTGAAAAAAACAGTACGAAGCAATGAGGCACTAGTGTCAACTGTGACATCAACCTGTTAATTGTTAAAAACATTTTAGACAGTAAAATTTTATATATAATAAAGAGTGAGATGTTAAATGTACCATAGTTCTTCAAATAATTTGTTAATGGTTCAAATGAATAAACAACCAATACATTTTCCCTGGACATATACCAAATGCTATAGCCACACTAAACAATTGTATTTCATCTATCACTAGTTCAGTATAATACATGTTTAATAATCTGAAAGAATAAAATTTCTAGACGTTTTCCCAGATGCTAGCCATTTTATGTTACTGTAGCAGTTTGAGTTGTTACAAAAGGGAATTAATAGCAAACACTAATGAAGTTAACTCTTTAGCTCAGTTGGGAGAGCATCTGCTTGGTTTTGTTTGTTTGTTTTAGAGCAAAGCCATATTGAATTACTTGTTGTGTTCACTGCAGGGAATCAAACCCCATATTTTAGGACTGTAAGTCCATAAACTTACCACTGTCCCATTAGGGGCCCACATTCAATTGGCATGTGACAGGTCGTAAGGAAATATATATTGTGAAAAAAAAAAATTACCACATTGATGCTTAATGTGGAGCTGTCAGAGCCCTGAAATTAGACCAGAAGCTGACCAATGTTTGTGAGAGGTGAAGAATGTAGTAATTGGAGTTATTAAAAATTGATTTATTAGCAATTGCTGGTGGGTTAACCCTTTAGGTCAGTTGGTAGAGCACTCGTCTGGCATGTGTCTGGTCTTGGGTTAAATCTGAAGAGAGGTGATATATACTGAAATATAAATTACCAAACTATTATTTGTTCCATCAATTGCTAGTCCAGTGCATGATCTTAGATTTCTGACTGATGTTAAACAAGAAGGTAAATTGTTTTGAATATTATCTCTGAAACATCTTTATACGAACAAAAGGAAGAACTGCTGCAAAAATAAGCAAGCTGGCATATCAACCAGGAACTATATTGACTTGAGAAAGTTTTAATAATTCTAGTAACTTAGCTGATGCTGAGTAACATAATTAATATAAAATGGTTACTTATAGTAAAGTTTCTGATTTTTTAACCTTCTCATAATAAAATCAATTTTTAATACCAAACACATTTTGTTTTGCAAATGATAATGGAAAAAAGTTCAGTCCAACACACTATGCTAGGTTATAAAACTACATTTTTTTCTACAAGCAATGATTAATCTAATATATTAATTGATTAAGTGTTCCATATACAAACATAAACACACACATATATATATATATATATATACACACACACACATATAATGTACATGCACATTATATAAAAACACATACTAAAAAGATATGCCTTATAAAACTGTTAGTTCATGAGACAAATCCTAGTGAACAGTTCACAATTTACTCCACAGAAACAATTCTATCTCACCTGGTAAGCAGCATTTAGAATTTGACGAAGGGAGTTGCTGGCTCGACAAGGACTTTCTTCATTGCAGTGTTTCTCTAAACTAGAGAGACAACGCTCTAAAGTTCCTATAATGAACAAGCAAACAAACAAATGCTACATTTTAACATATTACCAACTTCTCACTAGTCATTATAAATTTTCCTTATTAGTAAGTAATATATAATAAATACAATTCATTGATTAAAAATAAAATGTTTATTAAGAACCATTTGTCAGACTTATCATAAGATTAAACATGTTACTTTTAACTGGTCTCGCATGGATTCCCAGTAAGAAGTGAGTATATAACTACTTTAAGTAGACTTTGTGAGGGATCACTGCAGCCAAGATTTCCAGTAAGAATTGAGTACACAACCACTTGAACTACACTTTGCTGTAGATCACTGCAAATCAGAACTTTCATTAGGAAATACACAACCACTTGAACTACACTTTTTTTTTTTTGTAGATGACTGTGAACTAGAATTTCCAGTAAGAACTCAGTACACAACCACTTGAACTACACTTTGTTGTAGAATACTGCAAACCAGGATTTCCAGTAAGAACTTAGTATAATAGAATTTTAACTACACTTTGCTGTGGCCCACTACCAACCAGTAAGAAGTGAACATAACTGCACTTTTAGAAGAACTTAAAAATATAGAAAATAAATAATCTGGAAAAGAAAATTTTTCAACATCAGTAGCATCAGCTAAGTAAAAGGAAGTAATTCATTCAGATACAATTACTTCCTTTTATTCTCAGTTATTTACCTTTACAACTTTAATAGAATGTTATACTGCATTAATGTTTATACTCTTTTTTAAATTATATTGTACAATGACTGGATTTGTAAATGTTACACTACAATTCTATTACCAAAATTGTATATGATACTGAAACTAACCAACATAACAGTCCTGTAGACAACTGAGGGATCCAACTAACTTCTCAGCAATAGCACAGTTTAATGAATCTAACACTAACTGCTGTATTTCAGATGTGCAGATTTGAATGTTGTGATATGAGACTTTTTCCACTTCACAGACACAAAGACCTGCAAATAATGTTCAGTATGTTAACTGTTTATTATTATAAGTATTATTTACATATTTTTGTCACATTGAATAGAAAGACGTCCAATTTCAGTAAAAGTGCTTAAAAGTAGCATTTTACAGATACACATTTGGAGGTTCTGTTACATGACTTTTTCCAATGACAGTTTTTAAACCTTATCAAACAACAATATCCATTTTCATGATAAATATATATAAATAACACAGTAGTAATAAAAATCAACCATTTAATCAATAACGTTTGTCTACTGCATTGTATATCCCATTTACTCTGCCAAAAATACATGTAAAAATTATATTAAAAGTCAAGCATCAGAATATCTATTTTGAAATAGCAATCTTTAAATACATAAATATTAAGAACAAAATGTAAAATTAATTATACAACCTTACAAATAATGAAACAACCAAGAGTAGGAAAGGCAGAAAATTAAAACTGATGAATACATCTGATAGTTAGGAAATATCTGATAAGAAAATGAAAGTTAAAGGTGAATTACGCATTCACTAGGTGAACATAACCACATCATACATTCCAGTGCATAGTTAAGATGTTTAATTTATGGCCAGAACTTCTGTCAAGAGAACATGGAAAAAAGTAACAAATCATTTGGAAGATTCAAAATTGGCAAATTATGTTCTATTCTGTGAGCAAGATAAATGATGAAACATTGACACATGCTCTGTAATAAGCAAAATAATGAGGCATGAGAAATGTAAGAAACAAGCTGGTTATCAAGGGCTTCAAGAGGATGTAATTTTTGTACAACATACAGCCCTTTGTGGAAAGTTCCTGACCATTAACTGTTGTTTACTCAAGTGTGCACCCATGTGTTGCATACCAATGATCTAGATTACACAGAAATAGTATCCTAGTGGCTTAGCAATAACTCAGTATAATAATGCTAAAAACAATGTTTGGATACCCATGGTGTGCACAGCACAGATAGTCCTTTGTGTAGCTTTGTATTTAACAACAAACAAATACATAGCAATAAATGGTATATAAATACTGGGTTAAACTTCTACTTAGTTAGCTTGTCCGAGCAGTTAAATTCACAGAGCTCTGGAAGTCCTTAGATAGCTGAACCTCCAAGCCTTAATCATGAAACAAGTCTCAGTTCTTTTTTAAGTTGTATTTTGTTTAAACTTGAAATTTTAAAGAATTTTAATAATCTAAAGTGTATAAATCTACATTCTATGAAAGTAATTGTAAATAATCAGGTCTATAGCATTGTAAATATTATAAGTACCAATAAATTTCTTATGCTTTCGAAAGGTGGACCTTTCTTCTTCTTCTTCAGAGGCAAATTATCAGGTTAGAGGGTTTTATCATTTTATATCAAGACCTCTTGAACATATGTGTTTCTCTCACATAATAAATAAATTTCTTATGTTATATTAGCACATGAAGCTTCTGCCTCAGTTTCTTACGATCACACAAATCTGCTCAAGTTGGTGATCTGTGTGTTAATGCTACTGAATGCATATCCTGATACTTCAAATAAATACAATTGGAACATAGTAACTGTCTTTTGATAGCACCCATTACAACAATACTATCTACTTAAAAACACCAATAAAACAATGTTATTAAATTATTAAAGTGCTTAAGTGAAAGAGATAATAATGACAATTGGATAAAAGCAGTTTATGTAAAAAATAGTAAGTACACAAAACAACAATATTGGTTAAAATCTCACACATTTATTGTTTATAAACAATTTTAAAACACTAGTAAATATGTGTACATTTTTCTTTCTTTTCATACCAATATAAATAATCTTGGAACCTCTGTATGACAGAGCAATTACATTCTATATTCATAAGTAAGATAATATGAAAACAGAACTTACAATAAAAACATTGTATTATAAACATGATTCTTAGCTTGCATGCATGTTTGTATAAAAGCAACAACATTTTGATTTAACTTTTCAAGTGTATTTGAACTACAAGATTTGTACTTACATTATCATTTCCATTAATCTGACAAACTAAAATGTTTTTGCTTATAAGTGATTCAAACTTTTCATATGCACAATCTCAATTCTAGAATTATTAATTCAGTCCATATGTACCTCATCAGCATGTTTTACATATCTATCTTCACTATTTATGCACTAAATTGCATGTAGATGTGTGCCTTCATTGATTACATGAGTTTGAATTATACATAAGGCACATAAACAAATGTAAAGAAAAATACTATTAATATACATCATTACCAATCTCTCACTAGACATTCCACAATACTTAGCTATAGGTATAACAGATATACATCATTACTAACTTCTCAACAGATATCTAAAATATAGAGCTCTAGGTTTAACAGGTATATGTCATTAATCCATCATTTGATATTCTGTAATAGAGAGCTCTAGATTTAACATATATATATATATATCATTGTTAATCCTTCACAAGACATTCTATAATACAGAACTCTAGGTTAAACAGATAAACATTATTGCTAATCTCTCACTAGACATTCTACATTGGATGGTTATAATTATAACAGATAAACATCACTCACTAAACATTCTATGATAGAAAATTGTATGTTTAACAGATATATATTATTGTTAATCCCTCACTAGACATTCTAAAACAGAAAACTCTAGGTTTACAGATATACATCATTGCTAATTTCTCACTGGACATTATACAATAGAGAGCTCTAGGTTCAACAGCTATACGTCATTGTTAATCCCTCACTAGACATTCTATGATAGAGGGCTCTAGGTTTAACTCTCTCAACATGGGCTTGGTCAATTTGATCGACCATGTGACCTCTTTGTACTCAATTAAAGTCTTTATAGATTTAATACTTCTAACTTTCAATATAGTGTGTATATCTTCACCAAATTTGGCAGTCTTTTAGTTCATATTACAAGTCTTTCACATAAAAAATCTTATTTTTTAGTGTTTTTAATAAAATAAAAATAAAGATTTGTCCCTGAATATATTGAGTATTTGTTTTGAATATAATGTGCATATCTTCACCAAATTTGGCAGTCTTTTAGTTCATATTACAAGTCTTTCACATAAAAAATCTTATTTTTTAGTGTTTTTAATAAAATAAAAATAAAGATTTGTCCCTGAATATATTGAGTATTTGTTTTGAATAGTCTGTGTGCAAAATAATTTTCATGTTAAAATTAAAAATACTTTCCTCATCTAAAAAATCTCAGATTTCTTTTCTGTAATCCCTAAAACCTCCTAAATGCATTTCAAACGTTTTTTTCAGTAAAATTTTATAGTTTATGTGTTATTTTCTTTACCCTATCTCAAAATGGGATTGGTCAATTCGACCGACCTTGTAACAACAACAACAAAACAAAAACAAAAAATGAATAAACCTAAATAACCTTTTTTCCTTCTAAAATTACTTCAAATTGTTACATGAAATTACATTCATTTATCCCAAGTAGCTCTAAGTTCATAACAGTATACATCTATTTCTAATTAAATTCTATTGTTTTATTGCCCTTTGAACTGTGTCTAGCTACTACCCGTGCCATTACAAGTTGTAAGTCACTCAGGAAAAATGTAACTCATGTTACGCTTTCGAATTACATTACCCATGAGCTGCTTCCATGGGTGCCTCATGAACCATTTTAATTATTATTATTATTACTTATTTTACCTAATCTAGTCTTAAATTATTTAAAAAGATCCATATTTTTAGGTTTTAGTGGCTTTTATAATTATACATAAAGAATAAACATGAAAAACAAGAAATAAAACACTTAACCAATCTTCTTTTTTCTTGCAGTCGGGTATCGAAGAGAGTTAAGCCTAATTTTTTTGCTATAGATAGTAATGCACTTAATAATTTTTACTTAATTAAATATTGCACTAAAGAATATAGACTAATAGCATGCAAAAAGTAGACAAATTCACTAACCTCTCAAACTTTTCATGGCTTTCTAACTATGTGACAAGAGCTGTTACAAATTCATCCAAGCTAGTCGTTCACTTCCCCATGGGAACAATATTGTACTCTGAATGAAATTGATATTTAACGGTTCAGAAAATAACGTTATTCAATACATCATTTGATAGATAAAAACTCTGACTTTCTATTGGGTATTGGTCATATATAGTGAAACGTAAGAGATAACTATCGAAAAATTCTGAAAGAGAGGATGTGACAGGTGGATGTGGCAGGAGGGGTCTGATTTTCTTCTCCATAGCTCTGTAACCAAACAAAATTGAAGAATATAAAAATTATGGTTTGTCAATAATGATTTTATATAGAGTAACTTACGAATATCAGGAGAGGGAAGAAGTACCAAAAATGGTTGAGAAGAATGCTCATGCAACAAAGAAGGACAAGGGGAATAAGAAATAGGGGAAACAACAAAGCATGATAAACCTGCGGTACAAAATTCGTGGAAGCCAAAGAAGGCCTAGGTGAATCACCAGGCTAGAACTGGGAAGGAACAGCAAATTCGGGAGGAGGAAAAAGATGATCAAAACCGTCATCATGCTGAATAATATGAGCAGACTCTGAAGGATTTGCCGACATCAGGGGACAAAGAGTGACTCAAGTAGCATTCAGTCTCCCAACAGACAAAATCAGAAAGATCCACAGTTGGGTCACCTGTACCTGAGGCTTGATATAGAAGATTGGTCATTGGTGTGACCCCCGAAGTGGTAACGTTGACTTCAGAATTCATAATTCACACAAACTGCATACAATTGTCTAGTGCAGAAAAGCAAAAATAATAAACTGGGAGAAATGTGGTAATGTATAACCAAAAAAATATATAACCATTTCACACAAAAACAGAAATGGGTCACATGGGAAGTGCGAAGCACAAAAGAAAATGTCTGTACTCAAAAGCTGCCAAATGAGAAGTGAAGGTTCGGTAGAGGAGTGTAGAGGGAGTCACATGCATCACATGAGCATACTATGCTACTATTGGTTAATAGATGAAGCATGATTATTTGCATGAGACACACGTTGAAATGTACTAATTCTAACAAGGGGGAGTGCAAGGTTTGTGGCATGTGTAAAGAAAATGTTCGTTTATGGAGGGCAGCACTGAAAAAGAATAGCTAATCTTGGGAGTGGAAGTAAGTACCATATCAGAATTCATCAACAGAGCTGTAATTTTAACAGATATACATCACTGTTAATTTTTCACAAGATAATCTATAATAGAGAGCTCTAGTTTACATCCACTACTGTCAGAACAAGAAGTTTATATGGAAACAAGAAAAGTTGGATTGAAGAGGATACACGAGAGTGTCGAAACTTGTTTCCATATTTCCTTCTTGTTCCAACAATAGTGGATGTAAACTTTATTTTATTTCATATTACTCTACACAGTATTGTGTATTTACCTGTTATCAAGAGAGTTCTCGGTTTAACAGGTATATATCACTGCTAATTTCTCATTAGATATTCGATATTCTACAATAGAAAGCTATAGGTTTAACAGATATACATCATTGTTAATCTCTCAATAGATTTTCTATAATAAAAGATCCACAGGTTTAACAGGTACATCAGTGTTAATTTCTCAATAGATTTTTTATAATAAAAGATCTGCAGGTTTAACAGGTATATATCAGTGTTAATCTCTCACTAGACTTTCTATGAAAAAGGGCTGTCAATTTAAGAGCTTTATAAATAATTCACTAGACATTCTGCAAAAGAGGGCTGTATATATATAATAAACATACATAATCCAACAGACATTTTATGATAGAGAATTATAGGTTTAACAGATATATAGTCACTAGAAATTCTGTGATAAAGAGCTGTTAATTTAACAGTTTTCATATCATTCACTAAACACTCTGTGATAAACAGTTGTTGTTTTAATAGCTTCATAAATCATTCACTAGACATTCTGCAGTAAACAGTTATTGATTTAGCAGCTTTAAAAATTATTTACTACACATTCTGCGATAAATAGCTGTCAACATAATATCTTTATACATCATTTAATAGCCATTCTGTGATAAAGAGATGCTGATTTAACAGCTTTATACATTATTCAATAGACATTTTATTATAAACAGCTGTCAATTTAACAGTTTCATATATCATTCACTAAACCTTCTGTGATACACAATTTACAGTATATCCATAGTACAAACAAGTTCTTACTCTGAAATTCCCAATCAGCTGCTTTTTCTAACAGATCTTCTCTCATCCAAGAAACAGTAGTCACTATCAAGTCTCGAATCTCATCCTGTTTCTCACTTGCAACAGCCATGAGTGATGAATAGAGATCAGCTTCATGTTTGCGAGCAAATTCTATCCTTTTAGGTGTCATCATGAGATCCCATGTCATATCAAATGCAGCAAGAATAAAAGTGCGAAGACAGTTGTTGTGGGCATTATTCAACAAAGAAGATGCTCTGATGAGAAGAAACTGTAAGATTCGGCGGACAAAGAGTAGAATACTAGAAGGAAAAGAAAGTATTGGAGTGTAAAAAGGTCAAATTAACAAGCAACTGGTTTTACAAGGAAATGTAATAAAAAGACTCAAAGTAAATAAACAAGTTTCATTATGATTGAACTTCAGGAGGTGAAAACAGATATGGATTTCTTAATAAAACATTTAACCTAGCTATAAGATGACAAGGTTAAAATACAACACAGAATAAAAGAAGTACATTTAGTATAAAATCACCTTGAAAAGTTTTCAAACTGTTCTACCAATTCACTTTCAACCCTTAGTTGATCACTATGAGATTTGTGTAACTTGCCCTTGTTTCTGGGAGGTAAGGGGTTTAAAAACCCAAGGCACACAACTGTTGATAAATAGTTAAAGGAACATTTTGAAGTTTAGATCCCACAGAGTCTCCTCTCCTACGATCAGTTGGGAAGCGATGTGGTGGATAATACTCCTGACAGGAGTAACGGCGACATCTTCGATGACTGGATGATTGATTAATGCATGTATGCTGCTCAGATTCTGTTAGTTCCCATGTTGAGGATGACTTGGAACAGATAAAAAACAGTGGGTCTGTAGGAGCTAACTTCTTCAAGTGAAGCAACTCTGTAACTTCCTGTAATGGAAATGTTTTTAATACACCAGTTTCTTCATCTAACCACATAAGACTGAAATATATGTATGAGGTATGAGAATTAACAAACATAACTGTACAGTATGATCATTTAGAAATTTTTTTGTTGTTTTGGAAATAAAATATTCTAGGTTAATTTAATTAATGAATATTTGTCTTCTATTCAAAACTGTTAAGAAATTCAACTATTCACTATTCATCTTACCAATATTTGCAAGAAAATGTTGTCCCTAAAGTAATTACTAGTTCAGTTTCTATGAAAACCAGATTTAGTAAAAGTGTAGAAAACATTTTTATCTACCTTTTTCATTGATTAATTTTATTAATTGTTGGATATACAAGACTGTGTAGTGTAGGCATTATTATTTAATTCATTTTGTGATTGTTGAGTTTTTCATAACAAGAAAGTTAAAAGAAATTATTTTAAAGGTGATAGTTATGACAAGATTGGTTACGTAACTCAGTAAGAGTCATATTTTGTGTTTGAAATTCATTGGTGTTAAGTCTATAGAAAGTTCTAGAGGTCTCAGTGATAAACATATAAATAGTGGTGACCAAACGAGCAGGAATAGAGTAAAAGTAAAGTCAAGTGAAAGAAAAGTTCAGTCAGAGAAAAGTTAGAAAATGTGAAGTTAGCCATTGTGGGAGTGAATAGCTTTAACTGTTGATATTTTAAAGTAAGATTAACAGTTTGATAGAGATAAGGAGAATAATTTGTCTTGTCAAAGGGTGTTCTAAACTAATTGAACCCACCTGTGAAGACAATTACTGGAAGTTCAGGATACAACCTATGGGGCAGCATAAATTAATTATTCACTGATACTACTGTGATAAAAGTAGAGAAAAATAGTTTGGCTTGTCAACTGGATTCTAAAGCAATTGAATTAGCCTAAGTGAACTTTTGAAAAGAAAAAAGAGAACTGTATCATGTTTAAGATATAACTATGATCTCCATAGTGTAAAGAATTTTTGTACATATGTTTAACTTGTTTTGAATATATTATTTTAAAACAAGTGGAGTGTGTGCTGTCTGTTTATTGTTCAAATTTATTGCTAGTAAGTCACAGACACCTCCTGTAGAAGAATCCTTTGCCCACATTAAGAACTTTTTGTTTTGATTTCAACTTTAGATTACTGCACTCATTGATATGATTTGAACAGGAGCAAGAAGTTCAATAATATTAAGTTTTATGCTTGCATTAAAAGTTTAGTCTCTGAACTTTAAGGTTTCACCTTTAACTGAAATTTTTATCATCTTGGGAATTTTCCAAAAAACTAACACTATTATTTGCAGGCATATCATATGTTTTCTACCTGCCTTTTAAAATTTCTCATTTAGTTTATTTCTATGCAGTTTTAACATAACAATATGGTTCAGAAAGTCATTAAGATTGCTTTGCTCCAGTTGCTTTTTTTTGTTCTCCATATCTATTTTGCCTGAGAGGATATTGCAGTAACACATAGTACCTGGGTTGAAAGGATTATAACTATAATGTCCTTTTCTGCCTGAAGCAACACCTTCTGTATGTTACAGCCAACAAATGCTGTGAGAGAAGAAAGATAACAAAGTGATGTTGTTGAGTAGAAGAAAAAAAAACTAAGTTTGCTTGTTGAATTCATACATGCTTTCTCAGTTCAGAGTTGTATTTGTATAGAGTCCTTCAAGTACAGATATACTTTAAGATCAGCATGTTGAGTCTATCCAAAGAGAAAGAAAGTCATGATCCAGTTGGAGAGATTATCATTTTGTGTATGCAAGTATGTATGCTGTGTTTTCTCTTTTTCTGTTTCATGGTAGTTTGTTTGTTTGTAATTATGCACAAAGCTACCCAATGGGCTATATGTGCTCTGCCCACTACGGGTATCAAAACCTGGTTTCTAGTGTTATAAGTCCAATATGTTTTATAATAAAGATCATGTTTATTTTTTAAAACTTTCTGAGTATTGTCATTTCACACACACACTACATCAAATTATCAAACATTGACTAGTCTCCTTATTACCTGGTCCAACCTGCCATTATAAGTAGATCTTACTATCTGACACTTGTTGGAAATAATTTTAACCTGAAAATACAACATCACCATGGCACACTTAGTGCTTGCATTGTAATTACAGAACAATGGTAATTCCATAAATGTGATAAAAGAAGAGTACACTGTACTGATACTTTCACATACATCCTGTTGCAGGCTATGTTTTAATATTTTAATTTAGATGTTTTTTTTTTTACTAGAAGAAGGTTTTTAGCATGATGTAATAATGAAGTGTAACTTTTAGAAGTTTTCTTAATGTCTAGACTTGATGTGATGCCTTGATTTTATGGGAGGATTGGGTAGAAATATTGCAATATGTAAAAACATGAGTGAGTTACAGAGAGTTAATTCAGACAGCAAGAGGGTCAGCTAATACATCAGTTTATTAGTTAGTTAGTGATTCTGTTTCCATGTTATAAAGCAATTACTAAGTGTGTTAAACACACAGCCAGTTTTGAACAGTTTTTAAAGGGAAATTGAAAAAGTGACTGTTAAGTTTTATTTGTGAGTTAGGCCTATTCATGAATGTAGCCTATAGAACTTTCATTATTATTGTTAAATGGACTGAACTTTGGTTTATTTTGACCTAATAATCAAAAACAACCTACCTAAAGCTAGAAACTGCTACAGCACTGGTAACAGAAGTAAGGTTATTTTGATGCAACTAAAACATAATCTAGAATACACTTCAAGATGATGATATGTGCTTGAAGTGAGATAAAAAAGCTGCTAGAGATGATGAAACAGTGGAATAAATATCAGGTAGAAAAATACAGAAATTAAAAGAAAATAAAAAAGTGAAAGAAAGGAATTTAAGAGAGGAGTTAAAAGAAAGAGACATAAGATTGAAAGAAGAATTAAGAACAAAAATAAATTTAAGTGAAAACAAGATCGAAGAAGATATTTGAGATAAGCAGAAGGATTGCAATGTCAAAATTGAAGAAATGCAATAAAATACATCAACAAAGTGTAGAGGTACTATAAATGAAAAATCAACAAGGTCTGAAAGAACATCAATGATGGAATCAAATATCTGCCAAAAGAATTTCAAAGCATAATTATCAAGTCAACCAAACCTCTCTCTGCATCTATTCTAGAATTTCAACTTAAAATACTACTTACTATAAAATATGAAATAGGAGAACTCAAATGGTCTATACCTGTTACCACTATTGCTATGCCATCAAGGGTGGCATCAGAATCTGGGCTACCCAAACAATGATCTGGGATCCAGTGGAAGACCAACAAATAAACAACTAAAAAACTTTTGTTTTACTAAACTATTGGTGTGCGGTAATATTTTTTGCATCTTCTCGCCAGTGCATTTAGTGTAGTTTTCCAGTAAGCAACATTAGTACCTGCTTAGTCACTCCCTATTGCCTATTGGTGGGGAAGACAATTCTGGTTTAATTTGATTAGATAATTATCTTTACAAACCTGGCATGAGTAGTAGGGAAATAAAATTGATCAGTTATTGTTTAGTTATACCATATAAAAAAATGGAATATTTTCAGTCTTGTGAACCTCTGAAAAAGAAACAATAACAGAAGGAAAAGACAACGACCAATGAAAAGCTGAAGAAATTGAAAGCTTAATCGCAAGTTAAACATTTCTTTCTGCTTTCTAGCAATGAGTCTGTTGAAAAACTGCTGCTTCATGAAGCAAAATAGAAAGGCATGAAGAAATTACATTTAAGATCAAACCTCAAAATGTCTTAACAATACATTCTCCATGCAGAGAAAAATCTCAACAAGTGCCTGTTGAAACTTACCCTCGCAACGACAATGTGATTTTTTCAAGTTTTCTGAACCACTGCCAGAGCTCAGTCAAGATCCAGTGTTATTTGAATGTAAAGAAAAGTTAATCTTCTGTAGTTAGAAGGGACTTAGAGACTGGAAGCATATATATGGCACAGATGAGCCTTTACATTTGCATGGAATTTCCATTCATCACATTTATAATTACTGCAAGTTCAACCATGATGATCGATAATGAAATTATCGAAAACTTAGAAAAGGAAAAGTGGTGTCAGGTACTGAATCATTTGTTAGATGTATTAAGATGGCTAACAAAAAACAGTCTGACTTTTTGCAGATCCTCTGACACCCGTTTCACAGAACACAAAGACATTTTTCTACAGTTGTTTGAATTGACTTCCAAGTATGACCCCGTTTTAAAAGAACACATGAGAAAATTAATGAATATTATGTGAGAAAAGACATACAAAACAAGTTCCTCTGTCTTTTGTCAAATGCTGTGCTGGATATTATAACTGAGAAAGTCAAGAAAGCAAGGTACTTCAGCTTTATATGGACTATACGCCAGACATTTCTAAACAGGAATAGCTTTTGTTAGTGCTTCGTTATGTTGTCATTGACAAATCTAACAAAGAAAAGTTTTCTGGGACTTTTGCATGTCACAGACACAACTTGCCAGTGTTTTGTTAGATCACCTCAGTAATTTTGGACTGTCAATCTGTAATCTCCATGGCCAGTGTTATGATGATAGTGCTTGTATGAAAGGAGAGTACAATGGAATCCAAGTCATCAATGCTGAAAAAACACAGGATGCCAAGAGACTTTTCTTAATAAAAATATACAAAATATTTGAAAAAAAAAGGAATTCAAAGCCAAAGATATAGGAAAATATAAAAGGTACATCTATATATGCATTTTAAACAATATTTGGAAAAATAATGTTTGCCTCCTCCTCTACTCACCATCTCTCTCTTTTAATTTGAATTAACAAAATTGAATTACCATCTTAAACTATGACTAGTTGCATTCATGACAATAAAAATTTAACAACAGAAATAGACTCGATATACTAAACTTATATAATGGTAGTCATATCGTAATCATCTTAAGCAATGACTGAATGTGATAAAGCCTTCCAAAGAAATAAAGTGAATGTTTCATTTAAAAAGATACATATAGCATTTTATCTACACCATCTTGAACAATGGTTAGATGTGTGAGACAGACAAAGATGTAACAATAGAAATAAAATGATAGTGGCACTGGACAATAGTTCTTTTGGGGACTTGATATACTAAACAATTACTGAATGTTGTAAAGGTTGTCTACAACAGTAACAAGCAAATCAATGACTGTGACATTGATGAAAAAATATTTCTGGGACTGGAACAAAGATATCTAATCTGATTTTACTTTCTTGGAATTGGATAACAGTTTCCTTTTCGAAGATGAACTATACTCTGTATTTCCTTCATCCTTTGCTGATGCAGAACTACATTTATTTTCATGTTTTGTTCCCACAGACAATGATTTACTACTACTGGCTGTTTTGCCCAACTTCTTCTCCAGTATCTGTCCCTTTTGTTGTTCAACATTCCTTTGACCTTCAGGTATTTTGTTCATTTCTTTTCTTAAGCTTACTGTCTCTGGTGTGGCTGTAGCTATCATCATTCGTGTCAAATCCACTCTCTTCATATCATTGTTTTCTACTGCATTTTTTTAGCTTGCCATTTCCATATTTAAGGAATTCTTCTGTACAGAGTAACTTCCTATGAATTTTAGTTTCCATCCTCAACAATTCTTTCTCTCTCTCTCTCAAGAAGGGAACAGTGTTTGTTCCTAGTTTCCTTCTCTTCAGCTTCTAACCTCTTCTTTTCAAGCTCAACCTTTTCTCATTCTCTTTTCTGCCTCTCTTTTTCAGCATTTTCTTCCTCCACTCTTTGTTTATAGTTTCTATATGCCATTTTAGCAGATCTTAACATTTCCCTATTGAGTGGAATTTTATGGGGCTGAAGGTTATCAGAATCTAAAAACTTCACCATGTCCTTGACAGTTCTTTCAGCATTCACAGTTTTCTCCCCAATGGCAATTCTGTTTTTGGTGACAGCATTTATATTAACAAACTTCTTTTATACATTTTCTTGATAAGGAGAAGCAAAAATCTGTATTTCAAGTTTTCATTCTCAAGCTTTTTCAAGAAGACTTGCCTTCAGAAATGAACTATGCTTTCCCTGTCTTATAAATCATCTTCTGTTTGGTATACTTTCCACTCACCTGTAATGTCAGTTGTAACATTCTCTTCAAACATCAGTTGTCCAGATAAAAACCTCTACATTTGTGATAGAACCTTGATCAAATCTTTTAACTGGAGACAAACAAGCTAGTGTTTTGATCTTCTTGTTTCCTAAAGGAAGCCCAGTGATGAGGTACTTTGATACTGCAGAGTAGAATGATCATATTTAAAGAATTTCTTTGTGCTGGTTCTCTATTTTCATCTTGAAAAGCTCCTGCCTTGCTTCCCCACTGACAAAGTCTTCATCACAAGCTGGTTTTTAATGTCAATATCTAGATTTTTCAGGTCTTCTGGTGTTATGCCATTACCAATATTTGCTATGACAAACCATCTTCGAACAGGTGCAAACCAACATTATCATTTGACTGTATAGCAGATGAATCATAGGTTGATCAGTTTGGAACTCTGGGAAAATCTTTAAACAGAGGGATAACTGACAACAGAAAGAATAATTTAACTTTCATGTCAGCTTACCTTATTGCTTCACTTTTCCCTTTAAAGTTGATATTCTTCTGCATTGTCTTTGGGTCCCTCTCTAATTTGGACACACATTCCCTTTCCCTGACCACTACTCAATGATGAGCTTTAAGGCTGGTCCAATGCTCAGCAAATGAACTTGTGTGTGCATTATAAAGACTTCCTCTTGAAGGTCAAGATCTATTGGTATGCCTTTGTAATACTTCCTTATTTCAGGCAAGATCTTGAACAATCCAAATAAATTTCTTGCTAATTGTTCTGTTTTATGACCATATTCTGTTATGCCTTTGCTGAAGGCATTGTGCATTGTATGAAGATTACATGTATATACATCAACAAGACTATTCCATTCTGAATCAGCAGCTTTGACTAGCTTGGAACTTCTCTCAAGATTATCTCATTAACATTTGGTCCATTGCTACTCAATGCAACTAGGGATTCCAATGGCATGCAATCATTCTGTAGTGTTTGTACTATACACTTAGCAATGGACTTTCCATCTGAGTGAGAGAAGAACAATGACTTGTAACATCTGCACCAAATTTCATCTTGGGTTGGGGACCAGTACCTTATCAATAGATCAATTTGTTTCTTTACCTGTGCTCGAGTTGTTTCATTATACAGCAATAAAAAAAAGATTTATTTGAATTTTGTACATCATATATCAAAGCAGAAGTGAAAGCTGGACCCAAACCATCTGATAATAGGTAAGATAGCTTTGATCTGTTCATACTGAAACTGTCTACTATTGGGCATTTAAACATTGCTTTGAACGTTTCAGCAATACCATCACTAGCTCTGAAACTTATGTTGGACAATGCTCATTTTGCTGCCCAGATACTTCCATACACAAGGTATCTTCTCTTAGTACAGTATAAGTCAGAATGGTGGATTTCTTTTTTCCAGTTAATGTCCCAGATATCTGACTAGAAGGTCCTACTTTTTCACCTGCATACTCTGTATTTACACATTCTTCTGAGGTGACAGTGGTTGGTTGACTTTTTACTGCGAGTTTTGTCTGATATGGTGAAACAAGGGATTTAATTTTTTATATTGGGATCCTGAGGCATGTTGAAGAATTTAAGTCCACTATTGTCACATTTGATTTCAGATTTACAACCACCTTTCATTAAACTTAGTTTTGTGTCCCGGCATAATTAGCAAACTCTTACCTGAAATATAAATGTGAAATTGCCATAAAAAAATTTATAAAACAACTTCAGTTACTGGATATTTAAACACATTTTCAACATTTCTTTCAAAAACATCTAGATAGGTTGCTCAGGTTAACATTTACCCAGCATAAATATTCTGAATTTTCTTTCCTCCAAAATTAACAAATATTTCTGTTATTTCCACAATAGTACTTAAAATTGCATTTCCCCATGCTCATGTATTTATTATCAGAGTCATATTTTTAGTTTTTCTGTTAAAAGACATAATTTGGTAACAGTCTTTTCTGCAAAATGTTTACATTAAATGTCACTTTTCTTTAAATACTTGTATTTCTTGCTTACCCAATTTCGTATATATATAGAATACAAAATATAGGAAAAAATAGGCATTTGTGTGAAATATAGGAATGTGTGGCACCCTGAAAAACCAACTGGCTTTTTATGCTCCTTGTTCTACACACACACACACAAAGAATATTGTAATTGTGTATGCTGCTTAAAGCTTAACTGAGGCAAAGTTCTTTTTTTTTTTTAGTTTTGCAGAGAATTGCTGTAGCTTTGAAATGCTGAGAAGTTGTGAAACAGCATTTGACAAAACGTACAATAAAGAAGGCTATGTGAAATGTGTTGGAGCGTTTGCCTTGATTCAGTTAGAACAGTTGTGTTACAGTTTCCACAGCTTATTATAGCTTTTACACAGTAATTTTCTTGATGAAGAAGCCTTTTCAGAGGCAGTCACTGATTTCACTAGTTTCAGTATACAAATCTATTGTCTCATTAATAATCTGCCATGACATCTTGTCACAAGTTCTCAGGGTTTGCGATGCTTTTCAATCTAAAGATGCTGATATCACCAGTGTGATTCCTTTGGTTGAAGCTGTTATTTCAGAGTTCCAAACTTATTCATCCAAACTCATTTGCTCTCTGTAATTTGCTTAACACATTTAATTAATGATTTTGTGGTTGTAATATTTTTATGAACAGTAATTTGGCTACTTATCCTAAATGGCTGTAAAACAAATAAAGAATAAATAAAGAATATTTGTTAAGGGCTGTTTTGTAGGCTATACTTTTAATATCTGAATTTAGAAGTTTTGCTCATTAAAGGGAGTTTCTAGCATGAGGTAATAATGATATGTGCACATGATGCCTAAAAGTTTCCTGAGTGTCTAGATCTGATGTGTTTCATATTTTTGGGAGATTTGGAAAAAATATTGAAATATATAACAAAAATCATGAGTTAGTTACAAAGAGTTAATTCAGTCAGTTAGTGAGTGGGTTACAGTCAATAATCCTTTGCCAATTATCAACTGACTACTGAATGTGTTAGGAAGCCAATTTGTATCTTGTGTCATAGATACATGAGGAAATTTAACGAGCAATTGTTAAGTTTTATTTGCGAGTTAGGCCTATCAATGAACATCGTCTGTAAAACTTGTATGCTGCAATCAAAGAAATAAATCACCTTCATTATCATTAAGTGAACTAGATTTTTCATAATTATTTCCAAATAATCAAAAAACCCACATTACAACAATATATAAGTGTACAATGAATTTAGTTACTTACTCATTAATCAGTCACTAATTGAACCAAAATTTTGACTTAACAATAACTTTGCATTACACAAATATTAAGACCAATCTGAAAACGAGCTTTACAAATGGTTCATAAGAATGATATATGGTACAGTATGAATCAGTATGACTATAGCTGTATACACATACATACATTGAGGCTACATTCGTCAGAGAAGTCTTACTCTCAAAATCCATGCACATGATTTTGTTACAAAGGGAGAAGAAATTAATACTTATTTTAACAATGAGAATGGTTTTTTCCTTCCATTTCTCTTCAATTTAAGCAATGGGCTTACCAATACATCACATTTTTCCGCAGTGCATGACACTACCTTTGAAATTAATTTAATTTGGTAATTATTTTCTTCAATGAATAGTATAATCACTATTAGGCTTCTCACAACATTACCTTTTCTGACAGAGTTTCTTCACTGTAACAGTAGATAAAAATGGGTGTCACACCAGCCACACACTGTTGGAATACTTGTCCAAAATCTTTCTGATACATAGATGGAGACACTATCACTTTAACATTTGCTTGTAGTAAGGAATGTTTTAGTTTGATCTCAAGGACTGCTGTTGAGATATTATCTTCATCCTATCAATCAGAACATATGAGAAGTGTTTCATTTTATAAAAACTCCAAAGATCTTCTGCATACAACAAATAAAGCTATTAAGATTCATACATAAGATTTACAGAAGTTTTATAGCATTTATACCAACTGCTGAACAGGAACTTGCTACAAAAGAGTAAAAAAACCTAACTTCATACACAGTGCTATGAATGGTATACAAGAGGAAGGCAGTCCTGTGAAGTCTCAAACTGTCCCTAAATGTTGTCATAAATATAAACAAGTTTTTCAGTAGAAACAAAACAATAGCTAAATACATGTTGGGCCTATATATGCTAATGACACAACAGATCATAACCACATTATACCTTGAAATATATAAAATTATTTTGTCGATTTAAGATTTTTTAGAGCATCTTTAAGTAATTAAATGGTATGTTTACTTGTACGAACAGTTTTTCTGTGTGTAAATACTGCTATATCTTGTTTTAAAAACAAACAAATTCCCGGAAAACAGCCTGCACTAGAACAAAGATGTCTCTTGCTTTGTCTTCCTGGTCTCATCATAGTATTAAAAAACTGCAAGATAATATCTATATATGGCTCAAGCTGTATTATATTTGAGTAATAAATAACAATGAAGAAGCTTTCTATGGTTTTCTCACATATGTTACATTTATTTTCTAATACCAGTTAATAGTAATACAAGTTATTACAGCCTAGGCTTACACACGTGAATGAGTGATATACTAGTAGCAGTAAGAAAGTATAGCGAACTGTTCATATGCAAGACTTAGATTTATGTGTACTTGTAATTTTTACTGCTTATTACAAGATAAAGAAGGTGATGAAAACTTGTACAAATAAAACTGAATTTGCATAATTTTCAACTACTATTTAAAAAAAACATGTAGAGCTGTTTCTAGAAAAAATGGGGTTATGAATAATGATCAAGGTAGTAGAGTCAAGTTTAATATTTAGTATCAGCTGTGGTCAGAGATGCAGTGTAGTCAAGTTAAGTGTTCATTGTGAGCATGATCATCAATAAAATAGTCAAGTTGTATGTTTGGTATGAGCTTTGATCAGAGATACAGTGGAGTCAAGTTGAATATGAGCTGTGTTTTAAACCAAGTGGAGGCAAGTTGAATGTTGAGTACAAGCTATGTTTGCAGCCACAGTGGAGCCAGTTTAAGTGTTGAATATGAGCTGTGATCAGAAATACATGGATTCAAGTTGAATGTTGAGTACAAGCTATGTTTGCAGCCACAGTAGAATCAGTTTGAATATTGAATATGAGCTGTGATCAGAGATATGGTGGAGTGAATTGAATGTTGAATATTAGCTGGGATCATACATATAATAGAGTCAAATTGAATGTAGAGTACTTACTGTGATCATTCATACAGTGGATACAATTTGAGTGTTGGGCATGAGCTGTGATCAGAGATATGGAAGACTCAAGTTGAATGTTGTGTATGAACTGTGATCAGGGATACAGTGAAGTTGGATGTTGAGTATGAGCTGTGATAATACATACAGTGAAGTGAAGTTGGATGTTGAGTATGAGCTGTGATAATACATACAGTGGATTCAAGATGAATTTTGAGTATTTGTAATGTCCACCTCTTAATACAAGAATAACCAATTTCGGTTAAGAAGTAATAGATACAGTTTATTAGGTAGTATCTTTAGAAGAAAATTGTACTCCTTTTTACTTTCAAAATACTTTAGCTTTCTAATTACCTTATGAGTTTCCTTTTTCTATATCTCAAACTACATCATCAAAGAACACAAGCATTAAGGACAACTTACTCTTAATTCTAACTCACATGCCATACTTCTATTGAATGGTTTTCCTTGAACTGCAACATGGTGAATTAGTTCATAATTATCAGATGATGCCAAGCTGATTTCAGTTTGGTTGCCATAAGAAAATCGAATCTATGAAAAGTTTAATTTCAGCATCAGAACTAATTAGTATAAGGAGTCATAATTTGCTGAGTGAGAAAAAAATAATCTAATTATGTATAGTAAAATAATAATGAGTATTATAATATGAAAACGAAGAAGTAACAACCTACTACAGAGTAAAAATATTTTATTATTAGAGATCCACAGTACCAAACACTGTAAAGACAATAATAACTTACAGCAACAAATTAACAATATAGTGCAATAGTAGTGATCTAATATTATAGAACAATTACAAAAATTAAGTACACAACAAAAATGGCAATTGATATTATAAAAAATAACAACATAACAATTTATAAAAAGAGCCACTACAGGGGAACAAAGACAACTGATTTAAAGCAGAAAAAACTATAAGGTGAAAGGATGTGCAGATACATAAGTATTGGTTAGGCCAAGCAAACTAGATTAACAGTTTCTAGCTCAAGTTTTCAAAAGAATCATATGGGTGGATGGTCATTATTGATTGTAAACTTTTTAGTACAAATTTACTAAATTCCATGAAATAATCCTAATTAAAGAGCATTTAGCATCATGTGATATTAGCTTAAGCAATTAGCATAAATAATGATGCTTGATATGGCTGTACCAATTCTATAGGGGTGATGACAAGAAACTGTTAATCTAAATTCCATGGCATTACTATAAAAGAAGCTATTAACACTATTTTAGAGAGGAAAACTACCACCATACATTTTAAAGAATCTGGTTGGTTCTGTAAAGTAAAGGTCTGTTCCAAGTAATAGTAAAGCTAATGCGAGTAACTATCGAGTGTCACTTTCTTACTTGCTGTGGTTTGTTGGTGTGTATTGACAAAAAGTTATAATATCTAATCAAAAACACCTTAGGTATGGAAAAAAGGTGTGGCCAAAAAAGCACTGAGTGTGCAATTGAACAAAAAACATGGTTTGGTTAACTACAGATGAATATTTGCTGTAAAATTCTTATCAATGCTATAAATGTAGCTTCCAGTTTGGCCACCAATTTTTATTTCATTCCTATAAGTCTCACACTCAATCCTTTTTTGGCAACACCTTCTTTTCACACCTAATGTGTTTTTGATTAGATATAATTTATACAACAAAAATCACAATCAAAATTTATCAGTAATAACATGTAATATACATTGAGAAACAAGCAACACTAATCATAATCTGATATATTTTAACAACAATCACATTTTAGCAACCAAAAGAATGAATGACAAGCTAAGTATATATGAGGAGTCTTGAGATATACGAATTAATACAGAGCAATAGTGCAAAAAGATCAATTTAGCAATGGTTAGCAACAATATCCATTTAATAACAATGACTAAAATATTAATAATGATTTAGAGCAACATATACAAATTTTACAACATAAGAGTCAAATAAAAATCCTCAAAACAAGCTAGTTAGACTAAATTTGCTGCTGTTGATGTTCATATTTAACAGTATTATTCTTATTGTAGCAAAATTCTATATATTTAGAATTAAAAAATAAAACCCTGCTAAAAGGGTCTAAATTGTTAATGAAACTTTCATCATACCTGTATTTTAAAGGCCTTATTAGCGATGATAAGTGTCACAAACATAACCTGTACCACTAGTTTTAAACATTTATCTCACATCTAACATCAATAAAAATTCACATTTGTAATGCTACACTGTATTTAAAGTATCAAAATATAAAATAATGCAAGTAATTCTCTTCTCCAAAAAAGATGACAATAAATCTCAACTTTTAACAAGTCAGTCTATTCAAATCACCATAAGATTCTTCAAAAAGAGTTGAAAAAAAAACCCAGAGAGATACCTTACCATTCTCCAGTGCACTGTGTCTTCTCCAGAGTCTCCACCAGGGGGCACTGTAGGTAGCAGTGTTTGTCCAAATAATTTGTTGACCACCTTCGCCTTGCCAGAGCAACTGTTCCCAAGTACAACAATGCCAAGAGGCTGACAAACAATGCCTTCAACAATGTCTTCATTCTCAGCTGATAGCCCAATAAATTCTAACTCACCTACTATAAAATTCCCAAAAATATCATTACTATATGCCCATAACTTGGTACATTATTGAAAATAATTCACTTCCAAGGCAATTGTACATTGCCTCCTAATATAATGATGAAAAAACTGATTCTAACTGATTATAGAAACCTTTAATTTAGAAAATACTTGTAGAATAATAAAAAGCATTGCAATGAATATACAATATTAATAAAATAAGCAAGTTATTAAATGTACTCAAGTTAACAGGTAAAAGTGGAAATAATGTTATTTTCTGTACATGAAGATTCATTAACTGTTTGGCAGTCCAGATGAAGTGACTGAAAATTATGTCTATTTGAGTTTGTGAAAACAAAGAAATGAGCCTATAGTACAAACTCAATCTATAATACAAGAAAGGAGCAAGCATTTTTTCAGCCGAGAAAAATATTTTTATTAAAATTAGTTCAAAAACTGCATGTGGTCTCTGGTGAGCAAGTACTTGTATGTACTTCAATTTATAGGTCAAGTAATCTAATATATCTACATTTTACTTTTATTGGGTAAATATGTGTCCATAACTAACAAAATTATCAACCTTTATTAAATTTAGTGTGTAATTGATGGTAAAAGGCTAACTAAAAAACATCAAAAACTGCTATTGGGTAATTATAAAAATGAATAAAATCTGCAATAACATATTTAGCTGCCATTAAAGTTATTGTGGAAAGAGTTATTGGAAACAAAAACACAGTAACATTGGTTCAACATATGTCCTGTACAAGATTTTATCTTGTTTAAAAACAAGATTAACTTACCATAATAATACCTTAATTCTACTTTCTTTTGTTTTCATCATGCAGAGAAGTACAGGAAACTACAAGTTTTTTGATATACAAGGCAGGGACATTCATATAAAGCATTTAAAAAAATGTTAAAATCTTTGCTTTTTAACAGACAGACAAAATATACCTATAAAATAAATAATTTATTATGCTTTATGCAAAAACTACACCTACCACCAACTCTTTATCAACAACTAGTGTGACTGACCATTTATTTATAATGCTTCCAAGTCTGAAAGGGGTGGATCATATTTTATGACGGGGATTTGAACCTGTGACCTGCAGATTGTAAGTTAAGCACCCAGCCACCAGGCCATGCCACGTCCATAAATAAGTTCTGTATTGCAAGTTTTAATTAAGGGTTCAATGAAAAACATCTAAATTATGATGTTTAATAAAATAAATACGACTCGAAAATACTGAACAATCATTAAGATATATATATTAATGCTATAGCACTAAATGTTCTAACTTCTGGAAAATCTTAACGTTAAACTTCAGAGTATGGAACACTAAACAATCTTAACTTTAAATTTTAAGGTATGTAACAATGAATAATTTACATTTAGGGTATTTAGCACTGAACAGTCTTAAGTTTGTGGTACATAACACACAGTACTCTTAACTTAATTTAAATGATTAATGGTATGAATTGAAGTGCTAAATAAAATATATTATCATTAGCAATGGTCAGTCTTAACTTTAGGATTAGCTCTGAACAATCTTAATTTTACAAAGATATGTAGCACTGAATAATCTTTAAAGATCACAGACATTAGAAATTATTTTGTGCTTGAATGTGTATATTGTATTGCACACACAAAATATTCGATTAAAAAAATCAAGAAACAATGGAGCTCGTGTTGCTCCAAGTCATATTTGGTAACGTTGGTTAACTTTCAGAAAAACTAGCGGAAGCCCCACATGGCGAACTGGGCGGGAAAACTCACGTCACACAAGGTAAACATAAATGGCGCCAGGTGAAGAGGAAGATGAATATAATGTGTTAATCGCATCGTATATTTTTGAACCAGAGCTTGCAGACCATAACGTATCTAATGTTGAGATGTTGGCTAAAGTGGAAAAAGACTGACGGTTGTTTGATCTTTCTTGGTATTGAATTATTTCAAAAGTTATATGTTGCAATGTCATAAAAGACTGGTTTATACAACTCTTGATAAAAGAGTTAGCACAAAGGATCACATATAAGGTGTAATAAACTTAAAATAAGATCCAAAACACTAGCGCTTTCGAATAGTTGACTATTCTTCCTCAGGAGAAAAAAGAATAGTAGAACTAGAGTAGTAGAAGAATAGTCAACTATTCAAAAGCGCTCGAGTTTTGGTTTATACAACTAATATCATGAAAATGGGACGAAATTTACAGCCGTAAATATGGTCACATAGGCGTTAATATGGTAAATCAATGAGTAAATTCCAGTAGATATTTGTTTTTCCAAGTGTTGGATCTATATCTAGATGTAGATCTAATATAATGGCTGACGGACTTCCTATACTGTATTCTGCACATGCTCCTATTTGTATGCTTATGACAAGGGTATACATTAGGACTGGAAAAGCAAATATAGCTGGGTCATATTTAAGTAATCGATATTGATCCAGCATTTTGTATGTTGCATATTAACATCTCCAATGAAATAGCATAAAAAAGTGTTATAAACATGAAAAATAAATAAATCAGACAGTTGTTTGTCCATGCCCTCTCCCCCCCCTTTTTTTTTGGTAAATAACAGCTGAAAGTAAAATTTCATAAACATTTTTTGTTTTAGAAGATCTACTGTTGTGTTTATAAGACCTAAATGCTTGCTGAAAATTCTATATTGCACTTTAGCTAAAACTTAAGATTACCTTGTTTGCCTATAGTTTTCGAACAGCTGATCAGACACGACTATCACCGCATGAGCCTGGCTGCTGCTCGCTGTGTTTGATGGATCTCCCTCGAACTTTTAATAAACACTGAGCGCTGTATCTTTCTTTATAACCTTTTCTTTTTTTTTTGTTTGCACATCCCATGTCAAAGTGTAGTTTAATTTGGAAGTCTGATTCCAAAACGTATTAACTGCTTACATGGCAACTTTCAATCGGATTCCATTTATCACGAGTTATTGATACAAACTTTGCCCAGGCCAAGTGCCGTTTTCTGTTTGACTTAGGTGAAAACTAGAGCAGAGATACTCCCTTTTCTTTGGGAATATTCCCATATTCATAAAAAATGTAGCAAAAAAAAAAACATAGTTGTTTACAATTGTATTCACGACGTCTGTAAAATCAAATTTGTCCAGAACAAAACGAATTGTTTTCACAGAAACAAACCAACAGTTTTCATGCATAAGAGAGGTAGCATATTGCGACTGGCTTTGTTTACTTTGAGTGATGTTACTTGCCCTGACCCAATTTTAATAATAACCTATTGCAAAAGCTGGCTGTTGCATTAACTTTGAGTGCTTGTAGGACCAATGTGGGGGCCAGTTATTGAAAGATGACTTGGCTGTAATTTTTAACTTATATTTATACGGCACTTAAATATAAATGCAAATATATTGTGTTTATAACTGTCCGGCATCTTTAATGTATTAACTTTAGTACTAAACAGTCATAACTTTTGGGTAGGGTGACCCGATTTCCAAATTTCCAAACCGAAAAACTGGGACAGCTCAAACCTCAATTTCAAAATGATTATTTCATTTACTCTTTTAATTAATTTACTATAAATTTATCATACTGTTCCATAATATTCATATTAGCATTGACATTATCTGTGAAATAATTTCAACTACTTTTAGGTACTAGATACAAAACAAACGACCAAAAATAGCCAAATTATACATCCAAGAAAGTTAACATTTTCCAATACCAAAAATGTATTTCCAGTAACACCTCATCTCAAACTTTAACTTTATCTCGACGAAAGTTTCTCTTCTCTGCCCATTTAAGCATTAGTATGAATCATACCTCATTTGTTCCAGCCTTTATACCCCATTATATTGCCCATAGCAAGTTCAATCTTGTGATTTTCTTCACCTATGTCAATGCGTCCCTATCCCAGATCTGTATATAAGCTCCCTGTTATTATTTCCTATTCACTTTTCAAGACGTCTAAATTAGCAGACCCGAAACTGGCCATTTGGTGGGGAGGAGGACGGCAGACTGTGAGAGGAAGAAGTATTATTGGAAACACATTTTCGGTATAGAAAATGTTAACTTCTGAAACACATTTACCTCTTCTAACACTTTAGTTAGAATCCCACATTGACAAGATGGAGTGGCTGGTGAGGGAAAGATCCACACAAAGCACCTATGTAGAAAATAGATATAGTAATAGCACACTAGTGGGGTCTACTCTTTGCCAGAACAACAAGAATCTAATTCTTGGGTGGTAAAACCCGACTGCCCAAAGAGGCATAATCCTAACATCATTAGAAAAACATAAATTTGTCCAGGCCCGAACCAGGCAGACAAGGTATTATCATTGGAATTATAGGGCTGTGGACCCAAATCATGTACCAAGGAGTAGTTGCTAGGACAGGAGGACCACTGTGTATTTGGTCTTGTTTAGTAACGTGATATTATTGAAACCCAACCTGAAAGTTACAGAATGTTGCATTTTGAGCCATCAGAATTACGAAGAGAAAGCAACAAAACATAAAAGTGGACAAACCCGTTCCCCAACCTGAAGAAGTGCAAGAAACCAAACTCGGAATTATGGGCCCTGTCAAGCTTCACTCAACCTGAAGAAATAGAGATTACTCAGTCTGGGATTACGAATAGAAATCCTAACTCTCCAATCTGAGAAGCAAGGCAACACCTTCTGCCTCCGAAATTACGAGGAGGATGTGGAACAAACTAAGTTCAACCAACAGCATAGGAATTTACAGTCCACATGTAGAATTAGGAGGAGTTGATCATCAAAATAAAGATAATGACCAAACAAAGGTCCACACACAATGCAACCAGTAAGCAAAGAGTCATTTCTGAACTGGAATTACGAGGCTGGTCCTGCTCCAACCATACATCTGGGAAGACCATTAAGGGTTATTGGTAGGAGGGCACCTAGCTTTGCCCTCTTCTCCTTGAGTAGAATAATGAGTTCAAACATCACTCAGGAGGAAGAGACCTTTGTCCACCACTCCAGCAACTAGAAACTGGGAGTGGTAAGGACTCCCACACTCCACTAAGGAAAATAGGGGGGATAATAACGTTGGGGAGTCCTGAGGAATGATGCTCCTGTGCAATAGGTGAACCAGGAGTCAGCAAGAATGGGCAAAATCCTTCTAAGCTTTACTCATGATAGTCCAAGAGTGGCAGTCCAGTAGTGTATTTTTCGTAATTTTATAATTATTTACCACTCAGAATATGCAAAAGGTGGTTTTATGGAACACCCCATCTTATGATCTCCTCCAGCAGGAGATGCAACCAGGGACATTGAGATATTGCAAATTTGATGAGATGAGACCCAAATAAGTCTCTGTTCCTCAAATGAAAATCCAGAGTAAGCAATACACACCAATTGATGAACCCAACCTGTCAAAGTGACAGGGGATAAGTCATGTGACTCTCTAGGATTCCAATAGATAAAGAAATGGTGAAGTGAACTCTGAAACCCTTCAGTGCACACAACATAACATCAAAGAACCTGAACTGGGCACAACAGACTATCTGGATCTAAGCATTCATATAAAAATGAGAAATGGAAGGAAGATGAATAGGAGAGAAAGCTCTATCCCCTTCTCTAGCTGCTGAAGTTTTGGGAAGAAAGGAATTATTAGGATACAACAGAACATAAGTGAAATGGTAAAGAGTCCTGTGAACATGAATCACAAGCATATCCAAATGCTGATGCCTACTAGCCAACAAGAGAAGAAAATAAGTCTTAAGCAAAAGTTGATATAGGGAACATGATGCCAAAGGTTCAAAGAGTGGAAGAGATAAGACATGGAGAACTATTTAGATATTCCAATTAGGAACCTGGAAAGGACATCAAGGACAGATAACCCGAAAAGATTTCAGAAGCAAGGACAAAACAGGGGACTCAAAAATTTTCCGTCTTCCCAAAAAACGAAAAGTAGTTGACAAAACTGCCTTATTCAGAGAAATGGATGAAGACCCCAAACATTTGTTGAATAACCATGTAAGAAATCGAGAAACATGCTGCACAGAGGGACAAGAAGGATTTAAACCAGGTATGAGAGACAATTGACGATAAGTAAACCATTTCTGTTGATAAACGTCCAACGAAAAATGCTGAATGGACCATGTTAATGATGCCACCTGAGGTGTCAATCTCTGATGTTGTGCAAGGGACTGTATAAAAGCCAGGTGTGAAGCTGAAGAATGGTGATCACCAGATGAAGAATGTCCAACCGAGGCTGACATAAGAGGGATGGCCAGAGAGAAAGCAGAAGAGGTTGGCACTCCTGAAGATACTGATGGAGTGGAAACCATGGCAGACACAGCCAGTATGTTGCCACCAGAAGAACTTGACAGGATAAGGAATAAATCAGAGCAAGAACCTTGGATAACAGATGAATCAGAGGGAATGTATAAGGATGGAGACACATCCAATTCTGGCTGAGAGTACCTACGCACAAAGCCAGAGGGGGAGGAGACCAGAAGGACAGGAGCTGGGCATTCCAGTGACTTGCAAAAGCATCAATCTGAGGCACCCAAGACAATAACAGATCCAACAGTAGACTTGTGAATGAAACATCCATTCTGTAGGAAGAACTCTTTTGAGACAGGTTAAGTGAATGGCCACTAGATTCATAACACGTGGAACCTGACAAGCAAGGAATACAATCTGATGATTGTTGGCTCAAAAGAAAAGATCCAATGTCTGAAAACAAAGAGACCTGGAGTGAGTGCCCCTTGGTTGGAAATATAGGAGGCCACAGTGGAAT